CGACCATTTTCCAACCATAGGCAAGGTATAAGCTGCGATAAGGGAAGGTTCCTCATAAACTGGTAAAAAGATTATTTCAAGAAGAAGCCTCGCGATTTTGGTGTAATGGCTTTCACAATTATGAAGAAAATGAAGGGGATTTCAAACAGTTACACCGCTGTATTTTGACTGAGTTACTGTACTTTAAATGTAAGTGATTTTTGAACTGAAGATGTCGCGCTAATTTGCGAAGAAAATGGTATCGAATTACTGTTTTTTGCCGAAGTGGCATTTCTTTTTTCAGCTTAATTAGTAGAACAATTTCAAATAAATGGGGGTTACTGTAGAGTGGGAAAAAAGCTTTCAGATTATATACAGTATTTCATTAAATTTCAATAAAATGCGAAGAAGCGAGCGTTTGAAAAAATTATGGATAAAATTATGTAAAAACCTAATACATAGTAGATGGCCAAATTAAATCAGAGGTAAGCCGGCTGCTCCGGTCTTAACGCTTGAACCCGACGTATGTACTCTGACTCGCGGAAGAAATCAGACTGGAAGGAATTATGGCGAATTGTGGACATCCCTAAAAATGGTTCTGCTCTCAGTTGGTTAGCGCAAAAGTCTTGATTTCAATTTCTAAAAAACTTTGAAAAATAAGAAAATTTCGTTTTATGTAATATACCTGAGGATGTCTCGTCTATAAACCGTAATTTCATAAGAAGCTCATGAGGCTCAAATGGTCGATCGCGCAGTTCGTTGTCAAGAAAATCACGCACATCGTTCCATGTAACCTTGAAAATGATCCTTTTGTAAGTTTTGTTCGTTCTCTTGATGGAAAAATTACCTTTCCACCCTTCTTTCGTCGCATCGCTCCGAGCAGTGCGACAATCTCTTTCAATTCTTCGCTCATGCCCAAGAATCTGAAAGATATGTGGTTTGATATCCTCAACCGTTAGTGTTGACAGTGAGAATTTCACCTTTTAGCTCGTCCAAAGTAGTGAATTCGAGTGAAGTACGCTTTGAGATGAGTTGAAGCCAAATCAACGCACATAGTTACTACGGAAAGACCTAAAGGCCTTGCGTTACACTGAGGTAACTACTCTGCCCTATCAATTAACCGAGATCTAGGATTAGCTCAAATAATTGCACTTACCAACGATGACAAAGGCGACAATGAGCGATAGAAATATATAGTCTTTGACGACAATGTCTCCCAATCCGACAGTTACAATCAAGTTGAAACCAAAGTGAAAGGCATGAATGAAAGACCAAGTGCTAA